TGAGATGTCCGGCCACCCCGCCCCCTGGGCCCACAGCGGCCCAGGGTCCGGGGGTCCTTCCTGAAGCGCCGAGGCCTGGCACTGCTTTACCCCTTCTAGGAAAGAAAGCCCGTGGATAGCTATTGCCCTGGATCAAGCCGCAGTGCACAGTCCTAGTCAGGGTGAATCCATGAGCCTCGCTTCAATACAGTCAAAACCCAAAAGCTCCCTCCAGAGCTGTCAGAGCTCGATTATTAGCACATAAAAAGCCTATTTTCCCCAATGATTTTCCCTGACTTTGGAACCCACCTGTGGCCTCTGGGTTCCCCCTGCCCCTGGGGCTTACAAAACAAAGATGACATCCCACACCCGGAGGCAGATACCAGAGTCTACTCTGTGGGCTTCTGTCTCAAACACAGAAAAAGAAATCACCCCCCAAAAAAGTTGAATCAAGGAATTTACTCTTTCGTGGCCTTTTACCCACTTCCCTTCTGAGTTCATGGCCACACATGTGCCCCAGCCCCAGGTGGTGCATCAGCTCTGACCTAGTAGGGCCTGTGCCCCTTGCCCAGCCTCTGGGCAGGGAACGGGGTTCCTGAGTGTAGAGCTACCTGTGCTTCAAGGGCCTGTGACTGAGGTCTAAGGAGGCTAGCAGCCAAGGGAGCCAGGGAGCTGAGGACCCCGGGGTAAATTCAGCCATCTCCTCACTTGTCCAGGCCCCGGAGAACACGTGACTGGCCGTCAGCTCATCACTGGCCAGCTGGGCCTAGAATCCACTCTGCACTTTTTACCATGCCCCGGCGTGAGATCAGCTGCAAAGCTCACACCTAGCAACTGTTGGACACTGGGCTGAGCGCCGTACCACGGTAATCTCACTTAAACCTTGCTGTAGCCTTACAAAGTAGGCACTACTAATTTTCCCACAGTACAGGCGAACAGAGTCAAGAAGGGAAAGACTTCTCCCAAATTCCACGGTAGTAAGAACAGAGCAGTGATAAGAACACAGAGCCCAACAACTCCGTAAAATGTTTCACATATAAAGTTGAGTTCTGTTGGTCGCATGGTTTATGACCACATTTGAGTTTTGCTTTAAAAATCTAGGCGTGAAAATGTGTTAACCAAAAAGGGGACTGACAGGAGATCATTCAGAAATAACTATTTCCTTTTTGAAAGGATTTGCGGTAAGACTTCTTAAAATGGCAAACCCCACCTGTATGTTATTCCATCTACAAACATTTCTCTTGCTGATCCTTCTGGGATGTCTATTTCACATATGTCAGGACCCTCCACGTTATTCTGTAAACATGCAAAGATCAGCAGCAGGCTGCTTCTAAATTCCTCGTTGTTTCAATTGGCTGCATTTAGGAATTATCAGTCATGTTTTTCAAAGGAATTATTAGTTAACTTTATTTATTAATATTTGTTAAAATATCCCATGGGCCCATACTATTCCTGTTAAGAGTATTTTACAGAATATGGAAAAGGTGTGTTCTAATAGACTAATGAGGATTAAGAGCTGAACAGATACAACAGAACACTTTAATAGTTGCCACCTTAAAACTTAACATCCTCACACTTACACTGGGTTCCTCACTTCCTTGGTGGCTCTAAGGTCCCGAGGGCAACAAGTGTCCATCAGGTTCTTGCTGTCTGTCTGCAAATAGGAGGTACTCAACTACTTTTTAAAATTTCTGATGCTCAATAAACTAGCTCATCTGTAAAAGAAGCTTTTAAGGCAAAGATTCTGTTACTTGAATTTTTAAGCTCTCTTATTTAGAGTACACATTTGGCACATCTGGGTACCATTTTACAAGATGAGGTTAAGCAAAGAAAGGTTACATTTGGTTTTTTTTTTCTTTTAAAGCAGACACATTTCACTACATGCCATGTTTTAAAAGCTTTTATGAGGATTAGCTCATTTAATAATACATACACATACAGTCATATACTTGTAATCTAGAGTCAGTTCAATAAGCTTTTGGAACTGTTATTCAAATCAACCACTTCTTGGGCAGCTCCATATACCAGGTGCCAGGGCAGAGGCTGCTTGAGATTCTGAAATGAGGAAAACACAGCCCCTGCCTTCAAGCAGCTTAATTTAGTGTGGTAGTTTAGAAAGCATGTTCCAAAATCAACAGTGTCAACATCACCTTAAAACTTGTTGGAAATGCAAATTCCTGTGTCCCCACTTCAAACCTCCTAAGTCAGAAACTTGGGTTGTGGGGCCCAGCAAACTATTTTTGCAAGCTCTCCAGGTGATTCTAATGCTCACACAATTTTGAGAACCAGTGATTTAATGAGATATGTGGAAAACATACCCACCTAATCAGACGTGTCTGAGGATCAGGAAAGGCTTACTCACATCCAGTGAGCACACACTTCCTATTCTTATACTGTGTGCCAGGTGCGGTGCTAGGTGCTGAGAACCCGAAGATGAAGGAGTCCATCACAGAGGTGAGCTCTGAGATGGGTTCCACAAGAAAACCAGTATTTTAAGTACATAAATGCATCTTCAGTATGATCTGATTGTAAAAGGAATGACAATAACAAAAAATACTATCATGGTACTGAAGGTAATTATTTGAAACTCAAAGCAGAACTGTAGTTTTAAATAGCTAAAAACACAGGTCCAAAATGTGAAGTGTTTTCTAAATTATTATATTCACTTTGAAGCTCCTTAATTTCATTTATGCTCAGATGTACTGTTGACAATATATCGGATAAAATATTCATAACATAAATATCTTAAATATTACACCACCAACTAGAAGAATCAACACCCAAGTTCTCAGTATAAATTTTGTTCATGATTCCCTCATTCAAGACACTTACTGAGACACTAAGTGCAACTTGGGGCATGCTAGGGACCAGCTGGGAGGTTCAAAGGAAGTGTACGGACCCTGTCCTAGAGGAACTCATAACCTAGTGAGGTGATGATGCCAGGTAGGGCAGTTTTTGTTGGTTTCCCTCAGCTTTGACTTGTCAACTACAGGTACCAAATCAAAGTGTTAATAAAAACCTTATGATCTTTGAGTGAAGGGAAAATTCGCATCATTAAACGTAAACATTTATGGTTACTATATAATACTCACAGGTAATACCGTAGCAGGAATAAAGTTTAATCTACAAACTCAAATGTGTAACAGAGTTTTTTTCTGTAACTGAGCTTTTATTCTACTTTAGCCCCCACTCCGCTACAGTGACAATAATCTTACCAGTGGAGGCCAGCCACTTTCCTCAGGGCTGTGCTTAGATTAGGGAACTTCTGAAGTCCCAGGATGAGGAGAAGCAGGAGACATCAGATCCTTATATTACTGGCCCCCACACGAAATCTGAGATGTTCTTTGTCCACTCTGGTGTTTGGTTTTCAGTCTTCTGGTTTCCGTGCTGACAAGCCTGGCCCCTCCAATCACTGCCTGGCTTGAGGGTCAGGGATATCTGTGTCTTTCTTGTCCTTCCATGTTGCAGGAGTCTCTGTGAGGTGGCCTCTCTACCTAGACGTATTTGAAAGATCACCTCGCAACTGGTTAGCAAATTCTCCCCCACCCTACTTCCTACTTGGAAACTCTGATTAAAATAGTCAGCATTAGGAGTTTGGGATTAACACACACACTATTGTATATAAAACAGATAAATAACAAAGATCTACTATATAGCACAGGGGACTAGAGTCAATATCTTGTAATAATCTATAATGGAAAAGAAACTGAAGAAGTAAATATATGCATATGTACAACTGAATCACTTTGCTGTACACCTGAAACACAACATTGTAAATCCACTACACTTCAATAAAAATAAAAATTTAAAAACCCGCACACACAGTCAGCAGACTGCATATTCTCTGAGGCTCCACTCTCCAAGGCACTGCCTGGGAAGGAGTGAGGGTAGGCGTTACCGAAGTCATAGTCTCTCCTTCCCCTGGAGTGGGGAGGGGTGTCAGAACCTTATTCTATTCCCTCCTCTCTGACTCTTTTTTTTTTCTTCTTCTGCCCACGGGGCATTGCCTCTATCCTGAGATTTTGCTTCAGCGGCACTAAGAATTATCTACATGGATTTAGTTTTAAGCAGGGAACTGATTTTAGTTTTAAACTGGGAAATACTGAGTTGGGGGGGACTACAGATCTTACCTGCCGCAAAACATTCTTGGTGATGAAGAGCTTGAGGCGTCATGTTAGGTGACTGGTCCTGGAAACCACAGGGAGAAGGAACACAGCAAGGACGTTGGGAGCCACGTTTCCAGGCTCTGACGAGCTCTTCCCCCCGCCCCCCATCTTGCCTCCTCTCTCCCTGGAATACCATCAACAGCTACCGCAAACCCCCAGATACTGGCAGCAGGGAGGCCGCCCCCTGCTTGGGCTCCCATCTCGAAGCACTGGGAGGGGCGCTGTCATCTTCCTGTCGCAGGTGCGGAACCCGAACGAGCGAGCGGCCGTGTCGGCGGCTCCTCGGCTGGCCGCTATCTCCCTACGTGAGCTGGTTCACTCGGAGTCTTATTTCAGGGAACACACACCTTACGGCCTACTACGTGCGAGGCGCCGGGGCGTCAGGGAGTCAGAGCCTCCGGCCTTACTTCATACCGAAGGAGGATTAGGAAACAAGCCATAAAACGCTCAAAGAGAAAACCAAGAAACTCCCAAAGGCGACAAGCGACATATTTGGGGTAACGTATCTCGGCCTCCCACACCTCCTTCCCGCGAGACCGTCCTCGGACTCCCATTGGTCTCTGCCCCTGACGTCACAGGAGGCGCGACCAGGCGCAACCAATCGTGGCCGGCTCGGTGGACGTCGCCTTTCCCTCTCTTCCTGCCTGACTTGAAACGCCAATCCGGTCCTCGGCACACAGCCCTTTTACCTGTTTCGCTCCCGGGGTGCTCCCCGGCGTGCGGCGCACCCGAGTGACGACACACCCGGGACCCCGCCCGGCTCGCGTCACTTCCGGGACGCTTCCTCGCGGGTCCTTGTGGGTAGCCGGCCGGGGTCTCCTGGCGACGACGATGGCGGGGGATGTGGCGGGCCGCGGCTGCGCGGATTCGGAGCTCCTGCTGCACCCGGAGTTGCTGTCCCAGGAGTTCCTTCTCCTCACCTTGGAGCAGGTGCGGCGCGCGGGGACGACGGGTCTGCTCGGCGGAGGTGCTTGGACTTGAGCTCGCCCGGGTGATCGGCGGCGGCGCCGGACACGCCCGCTGCCCAGCACGCGGGGACCGGCCGGGCCGCCCCGCGCCGCCGATCAGCCAGGAAGGACGCGTCCTTAGACGGCCAGGAGCTGCTGGGGCCCTGACGGTTCGGGCAGGGGCGTCCCTGGCGACCCCCGCGGCCTGGCTGTGAGCACGGGCCTGCGGAGGAGAGGGGCCAGGGAGGGTCGTGCGGTAGGAATGAAGGGGGAGGCCTCGGAGAAGCCTCCCGTCCTCCGCCCTCACCGCGTTCAAGGAGGGGAAGCTGAATCCCGGAGCGGCGAGGTGACTACCTGAGGCCACACCGTCGAGGGGGGTGCAGCAGGACAGCTCGGGGCTCCGGGCTCTCCATGCAGCGTCTGCTCGTTTTCAGCCGACGTGGCTTCTGACAGCAGACAGAAAATGCGACCAAGAACAGCGATAAGTGCTGTTTAAAGTGGTAGAGAATTATTGAAAGCTTTTTGGGGCTTTTAGGTGGCATATTTTGTTGGTTTCCTTGTGTTTTCTCCTCAGTACTCTTTCTCTAATTTCCTCAAGCACCCCTCCCCCCAGTAGATTATTTTAGGGAATGTTCCCTTTCTCACCTCTGGTTCTCAAACTTTTTAATAAATCAGAATCATCCCAGGGCTTGTGAAAACAAGACTGCTGGGCTCCATCCCCAGAGTTTTGGAGTGTGGCCTGAAAGTTGCAGTTTTTAACAAGTTCTTGCTGCTAGCCCGGAAACCACAGTTTGAGAGCCACTGTCCTGGAGCAGTGCTTCCCAAACTAACGTGCCTGTGGATTCTCCAGGATTGTTGTCCAAGAGAACCCCTGGGGCTTCCCCATACCTCTGAGTGAGTACAGGGTGAAAACTGATAACAAAGAATGGTCCAGTATCAGAAACAAAACAAGTTTGTGCTTTTAAATTCTGAAGAATAAAAAGAACAGGGGTAAGTTTATCATAGGACGCAGATTTGATTTGCTTATGTTGTACTGAATGTAAATGTTTCCAACCTTCCTGAATTGCTGTTGAGCCTATGATGTCATTTCCAGCCTTATTTTCCTTCCCAAATCTAAATTATGTCTGTGACTGCTCCTGCGCCTTGTGCTATATGTCTTCTGTTACGTTGAGAACAAATTGGAAGATGAGGAGGAATGAGGTGTTGCAGAGAGGGGTGGTTGGGCAGGGCTGGAAGTTCCTTGAAAGAGCCGGCACAGATGTGAGGGGCTGCTTGTTCTGGCCATGTGCTGCTGTCAGGACCATTGTCAGTTCCCATCCACAGGGCTGTTTGAAGTCTGGGTGGTTAACTTCAGTTTAAGAAGCACTGTTGGGGGAGGAAGGGGAATAGTGTACAGGGCGAGTACCCAGCCCACTCATCTGGTCGCGGTGGCAGCACTGTAGGTAAGGTTTTCACAGAATGTAGTAATTGTCATCATTCGCTTTCTTTTATCTGGTTTCCCCAGACCCTCCCCATTTTTATTTCCCCCCAAAGCCTAAGATGACATTACTGGAGGTAGTCTTCGTGCCCAGTGTGTGGGCTGAGCGGGGTGGACAGCAGCCCTTGTCATACTGAGGACACGTGGCCTTGTCTTTAAGATGAGGCTGAACCGAGTGTGTGAAGAGCGTAGCCCCTTCGCAGCACTGCTCCTCGCTGTCTCCTGTAGGATCCTAGGCTCGTGTCCAGCACTGAGAGTGCTCTGTGCTGTTTGTCTCAGTAGTAGTATTTGTTACCCTGTTAGGTGTGTCATGGGTTTGTTCCTAAAATGAAGGATGCTGTTTTGAAATTACTTTTGTTTCCTTTTCCACAGAAGAACATAGCTGTTGAAAATGACGTGAGAGTAAACAAAGACAGCCTTACTGATCTTTACGTTCAGCACGCGATACCGCTGCCTCGGAGAGATCTGCCAAAGAACAGATGGGGGAAAATGATGGAAAAGAAAAGGGAACAACATGAGATAAAAAATGAGACTAAAAGGTACTTTTCGGTGGTTCTGATTATCATGTTACATTACTGAACAGTTTGCTTTCCTTTTTTCCCAGGTAAATGTAGGTAAAAGTACTGATTTACTCAGCAGCTATTTCCTGAGCACCAGGCACTGTGCTTACAGCAGGAATAAGACTGACAGTTCCCTGCTCATGTTTTGATTGGGGGAAACAGAATTAAAAAGTAAACTATATAGTATATTACCTTGTGATGAGTGCTAAGGAGACAAGTGATGCAGGGAGAGGGGTTACAGTTTTAGGTGAAGTGGCCGGGACCACCTCCCTGAGAAAGGACCCTTCAGCCAGACCTGAGGCAGGAGGGGGTGAGCTGACCCTCCTGGTGGAACACGGGCGCCCAGACAGGAGCGCATCCACACGGTCCACCAGAAACAGCAAAGAGGCCACCAGGGCCTAGCGAGAGAATCAAGGGAGGGTCCAGGAAGATGGGTCCGGGAGGTTGTGGCCTGGAGTGAGTGCAGAGGATTGTCCGTCTTGTAAGATCCCTGGCATGGTGCTGAGACAAGAGGCCATTGGAGGATTTTGAGCAGAGTGATGACACTGTGGCTGCTGTACTGAGAAGTGGTTTGAGGTTGGGAAACCACTTGGGAGGCTGAGCTGTAATCCAGACGGTTGACAGAGGTGACTAACTGAGGTAGTGGACTTGGTAAGCAGTGGGTGGCACGTGTTTTGGAGGTAGAGTCAACAGAGTTTACTGAATTGTGAGAAAAAAGTAGGATCAGGTAAGACTCTGAGGTCTTTGAACAAAACAGAATTGAAGACAAGGTCATACAGTTTCCGGTACACTGTTTAAAAGTTTTAAATTTCAGGAAATTTCAAAATTAAAATTACACAGATGTTACAGTTACAGTTAGTTTAGAAAATGCCTTGGCTTTAAAGGCCTTTAATGAATGGAATGGAATGTCCTGTCTCATTGTCTGCAGACTGCTGCTATAGTAGTTTGGTATAGTTTCATAGTTTATTACCTTCTCTAAGTAATCACTGATATGTCAAGATAACCCTATCAATAAATGGTGATTTTTAAAATTAAAACTTTTTAATTAGTAGGAAATCATGTTTTAAGTTTTGGGGTTAGTTGGTGGATTGATGTTTTAAAAGTACCTGCATCTTATGTGTACATGAAAGCTAATTTTAAATTTCTTGTAAATAAATATTTTAAACTTCAGAGCACTAGAAAAGTATCATTTCATTTAGGGTGAACACAGGAAATTTTATTTCCAGTGGTCCTACTGACAGTGGCTGAGCCTCACCAAGAAGTGTGTTCTGGTCATTGTTTTAGCTTTTGAGTTCCAGGGGACTGGTTTACCACCCAGACGGTATTTTTCAGGAACACGTCTCTTCAGTTTCAGGAGTGGCACCGTCGACGGTCTACGAAAGAGAGCCCTCGTCGTGCTTGAGGGAAGCTCCACGAGCGCGAGCATCAAGGTGAGGAGGACGGAGGACGCGGACAGCGGCCGGCCCAGGCCCCCGCCACCGGCTCGCGCCCCCAGCAGTGCCTTTCGGAAATTGTCAGATTCTTCTGCAAGTGTCTCACCCCTAATTTTGTCTTCCAATTTGCCTACGAACAATAAAATGGAACACAGTAATAATGACACTAAGCAGAACCATGACTTAACGCATAGGAAAAGTCCTCCGGGGCCCGTGAAGTCGCCACCTTTGTCGCCCGTTGGAACGACCCCGGTGAAGTTAAAGCGAGCAGCTGCCCCTCGGGAGGATGCCGAGGCCGCGGTGAGTGTCGGGTTTCCACGCCAACGGGAGACGTGGCGGCGGAGGCCCGTCAGTCCGCTCTGCCTCACGCCTTTCTCGAAGCCTTCAATGATCTGTCTCTTATTTTTACCTCTCGTTTGTCATGAGGCCCTGGAATTTAAAATCCATGATGATATGCTAATACTTTTTAAAGTGCACTCGGTTTATTTCTGCCTAGAATGTGTAAAGAGAGTCTCTCAGGCACTTTTTCTCAGTTTTCCTCATCGAGATCCTTTACCTGTCTTGGAGCTGAAAGGAATGTTCCTTTGTTAGCGAGGCTCAGAATGTTACCTGAGGTGTCCAGGGTCACCCGTGGATTAAGTCGTGTTTTACAGCTTGACCTTGAGTCTGTCTGCTTGGCCCTCCCCTCCAAGCCACACCGGGGTCTTCAGCATGCGCCTCCCACCACCTGGGAGGACGGGGCGGCTCTGTAGGTGCAGCCCTGTCGTGCGCCCGCAGACTTCCGTGCTCAGCTCTTTCACGCAGACCCATGCGGGTCCACGGTTCCCTTTGATGATGAGGTTGTGTGTATGTGTTCAGTCTTTCCCTGGGTTTCTCGAGAAGTGTCTCTCTTTTAAACACCCAGCAGTTTTATAGCTTCTATTCCTTGTCGTAGTTTGTTCAGGCTGGTATAACAGAAAATTCCGTTGACCGGATGGCTCAAACAGTATACATTTTTTCCTACAGTTCTGGAGGCCAGAAGCCCAGAACCAAGGCCCCGGCAGAGTCAGGGTCTGGTAAGGCCCACTTCCTGGGTCACG